AGACGGATCCCTTCAGGATTTCCATTCTGTCTAGTGTATATATGTATGCTTGCTTTCATATTTTTATGCATGTCTATCGTTTCGCGCGCATATTCAAACGATTTTTGCCAACTCAATCGGCTCATTTTTGTTTTGGTACGAAATTTCGTTTCGCCGTCATAATTGCCCCGCTGTGCTACGAAAATCGCGAGAAATTTGAAGGAAGGTGTAATCTCGCTGTGGCACCTCACTATTCACCTCAACCAAATTTTTCAAATTGGTTCACAGTTCTTTTCCCTTCTTATTAATATACGTTCTTTGTTGAAACCACAATATGTCCAAGTCGTGTTCTCCAACTGCAGGCCAAAAAAAGTTGGTTATTATGCAAAGATAACGCTCCAATCACACCCCCCGACCCACGAGCGCTTTGGTAGTAAGATTTTTTTTTGAGGTTGGTAAAAGCCACTGTTCAATTATTTCAATATTCTCAGAGCTTTGAATGCGAAAATTTTGCTTATTAACGTATCCCCCGAGTGAGAAATGTGTCTCGTCGTTGAAGAAAATTTTTATTTGAAACATTGACCACAATGTGGTTCAACATAGTTTTTTTTTAAATTCAGTATGGGATCCCGTAAAAGAAGGAGAAAGAGCTTGAAGTTCTTGGTAAGCTGGCCGACAAGATAACTCTCGGAAATCCGGAGCATACTTATGTTGGTACCCATGTGGAAATCTGATGGTCGATGCCTAGTGCATACCTGGTCTATGGAGCAAACAATTCTCTAAAGTGCTGAATGGAAGTGAAAATGCAACTTCCGGAGATGGTGAAACCGAAACCACAATCGATGATAATGTGAAAGACAGAAGCTCAAATAGCGATGGCCTGCTTAAAGAACAACAAGTTAGCTGGAGCTGATATGAAAACTGCCTCTCTACGCTATGTATGATTTTGGTATTCATGTGGTAACACGAGAAACGCAGTCAGAATTGGAAGGACTTCTCCGAGCCGTTTGGTACCAAACAAGGTTTCAGAGAGGAGACTCATTATAATGTGAGCCGACGTTCTAAATAGGCAAGTCACTCGTCATTCCCGTCCAACTATATGGTGCAGAAGTGTAGACGGCGTCAACATCTGATGAGGCGGCCCTGTCGAAGGAACGATGAGCTGCACTAATTATTCGGCGTCATTAATTTAGTTCAGCGAATAAAAAGAGCGGCTATGTTGGTGAGATCATGTAGTCCGAATGAATGAAAACGCTCCAGCTTTAAAAGTGTACCATGCTGTACCCGCCTACAGAAGCAGAGGTAGAGGAAGATTTCCACTCCTTCTAACGATCAGCTAGAGAGCGATCTAGTTTCATTTGGGATTTCCAACTGGCGCGAAACAGTGAAGAGAAGGAACGAATGACGCGCCAATGAAGAAGAAAGAGATGTAATGGGGTCAGTACTGCTAAGATATTTGTAAAACAAAAACACAACACAGCTCCGATTCAATTCCCGTTATAAATTATTAGACAATCATAAAAGTTAATTAAACGCTTGAAAACACATCTATACATACATATGCATGTATGTATATATGTATCATTTAACAATGACCCAAAAACCCACTTAGAGTATTAGCATTTGAGTAGCAAAATAACAAAATAATTGTTTTAAACGGAAAATAATCGATATGCATTTCTGTTGGACGAAAATCGAAGAATTAGGGAATATGTATGTTGTTGTGTACACCCTTAATCGCTGCTTTATGGCAGCTGATGCCATTTTCTGCAGAGCTCCTCCTCCAATTGATGGAGGAAAAGAGACCTACAGTTTTTAGAAAGCCTCAACCAAACGGCTGAAGGGTTTTTATAAGGATTTCTTGACGGTCTATCAAAATCTCATAAGCCAAGTTATGATATCATGATCTCATGATCCCTAACGTAGCCTTACCTATGATCCTTCTCATCTACCCGATGGAGGGTATAATACTGCGTCCCGAATATTTATAAGAGTATTGGCTTAGGCTCTACTCTATATCCACAGAACCGGCCATTTCGGCCGAAAGTTGCTGCAGAGGCTTACAAAGTGCAATATATAAAATTTATATTATGGGCGGCCGCAATAGCCGAGTAGTTAGCTTTACATATTGCCTATCTGAAGGCTATGATTCGAGTCTACGTACGATTAACATCCAAAATTAAATTAATTGTTCTAGTTGCGATCGTCCCACGTCAAGGAATGTCAGGCTCATTCTAAACAACCACGAGCAGAGGAGGAGGGAGTCATAGAAAAGGCTAAACGAAGGGATGAAGCGGTTCCAAAAGCTCATAATGTAACCACGTGATTTATGAACAACCACAAAATAGTCCGACTGAAAGGTGGCTTTGGCCACCCTTGAAAATTATCAAATATTCAGTAAAAGTCAATGTTTCTTTGAATAATTATTAAAGGATCAATGGCAAAATTGACTTTTCACGTTTTGACCTTACGGGCCTATTTCACAATAATTTAAGAAAACTTCGGAATGCAACTCTGTGCGTGCTCACTTGGTAATAACATCTCTGAAGTTCACCAACAGCTGTTTTTTGTTTACTACAGAAAAAACGTTGCTACTCTATAGTTGACTTTATGTTATTTCTGATCGGCTTTTGTTGTTAATAGCAAATAAATCTGTATTATGAAAGAAGAAAGTGAAAAATACTTAGAAGTATTAAAGCGCCAGTTTTTGTGTGGCTATCCACTTCATTGCATTGACTGGGAGGTAGATATTTGAATCACATTTAACGCCAAAAGTTTGTTTTAATATGCGCTTATATTTTCCCAGGGCATTCCAACTGACTTGACATGGGATCAACAAAAGTTATTTGTAGAGAATACAGTGCTTAATTCACTAAACAAACAATATCCATTAAAAATTAGCTATCAACTGAATTTTCTAAAACGTCTGTTGCAATATTTGGAAAAGTCTTATGACGAAGTGCATGATATTGTTTATGAAAGTTTTTGTGCCGTACAAACACTTGTAGCTAAAGATGCAACAGAAAAATATGCCTACAAACATTATCTGCAACCCGCACTTGATGTCACACTTACAATGCGTGAATCCAAGAGTTTTGTTGCCGAAGGCACAACCGGATTATGCAGTTGGCAAGCTTCAATAGCGCTGGCAGATTATTTGGTGCAAAATAGTGATATCGTTAATAATAAGTGTATTTTGGAATTGGGCGCTGGTACTGGATTATGTGGAATGATTTTGTTGCAGTGCTGTGATGTGCGACACATATTACTCACTGATGGCAGCATGGAATGTATTGAACTTATGAAAGAGAATGTGTGTCGAAACTTTAAAGGAATCGTTGAGCTTTGCAGCGGAGAATATGAATTTAAAGGCAGATGGTTAAACTTAAAGCAATTGCAATGGGATGCTATAGATAAAATGAAATGGCCAAATAACAACAGGACCGATATCATATTAGCAGCAGATGTGGTTTATGATGACACCGTATTCGAAGCTCTAACGTACGCCATTGACTTTGTATTCAAACTGAGAAAAGATAAATGCGAAATGTTGCTTGCTGCCACCGTAAGAAATGAGTATACGCTACAAAAGTTCTTAAATATGATCTGTATGTACTATTTATAGTTATGTAAATTTCTTCTCATTTTTATCTTAACAAATAATTTCAGTGGCATTAAAATTCCTGGTCGTGGAAAAAGATGTGATACCTTTGGACAAATGCAATTTTTATTGGGATCGCACAACACCTGTGAAAATATTCCATATAACACGCAATAGCTAGTTAATATATAAAAATTTCAACAAAAACTAACATTTTTTTTACAAAATAGACTTTATTTCTGTTATAACTTAACATTAAATAAGTATAAATACACAAATTCTTTTTCTTAAATATTTTTATACACATAATCTACATGAATAAATACATGTCTCAGTAGTGAGTATGTGCACTAATCGTAGGGATCGAACCATCATGTAGACACGTCACATCCAATTGTTCAATTTCATGCTGTTTAAATATCACACCCAACAAGTCGTATTGTATTTCGAAGAGTGTCATACAATATGTACGTGGCACTTTTACACCCACCACGAGTGCAACTAACGCAGTGATTATCATATAAACAAATCCCTGTGCCATTATCGTACTACCATCCGTTGAGTAGAAGAATGAATTCTTCGAATTCGATACAAAATAGTAATAAATCATGCTTGTAGAAATCAATTTCGCTAAATAAGATACGAAAAATAGTAATTCAGTATAACGGAAATGTGAAACTTCCACAATCGATATTTGCAAATTTGAAAATGATATGCCAAAGAAAAGCAATATAAACCACAATGGTAATTTCGTATCCACGGAACTACATATAATCATACTCAAAATGGTAAGAATTATGAGGAAAATCTCATTTGCAACAAATGTGACCTTCACACTGAAGAAAACGACAATCAAAATACATAACACTGAACCGGCGAATACCACCCACAGCATAGCATCGACATTGTCAACGGGTGTCAGACGTATACCTTGATTCATGACAAACCAAAAAATGTAGTACACAAACAGCGCATACTGTATCATTTCGGTAAAAAGTACCACCAGCGTAACGTTCCATTGTTGATTCTTTGTCACATAAAGAAACTTAACACGTTTAATAATATCTTTTCGTTTATCAAATATACTACCATTGGAGTTAGCAATACGAAATTCATTATCCAAAATATTCTGACAATCAACGATACCATAAAAATCCATCACCTTCAAACCAATAAGAACACCTAAAATCACCACAGAAATGCTTAAGTAAAGGCCAGCGAAACCCACATAAAGATCTTCCGGCACTTGTTCAGTAGTTACATTGAGATTGTTGTCAGGTTTCGTGTAGCTAGTGCCAATAAGGCTAACAGCCGATGCAGTGCCCAATAGAAAAATGGAAAAAGCGAGTGTGAGCATAATAGAACGGCTACGTTTATTTAGTGTTGTATGTAGGAAACTCAATCCAGCTATGTAATTTAAGCTGTAAGCGAAGTATGAGATGAAAGCGCCAGCCGTATCTGAAAGAGAAATAAATGAAAATTAATTTGATGGAAATCATTTGCATTCTTAAGATATTTGATTAAAATAATAATTATTGTTTAATAAGTGCGTGCAATAAAGGGTGTTTTTTTGTTACAAATTCTGAACAATTTTTACTGGAAAATAATAAAATAAAAACGAAAACTTAAGCTTATTTACAAGAAAATAAACAAAACATATATGTACATACATATTATGTCAAAAATAATCCTTTATAAAATATTTTGTTAACATAGAGTGAATATATTTTGTGTTGATAATGTAATTTATTCAAAATTCAATCAATTCAAAATCTAAAAAAAGCAAGAAGCTTTAGCTGTGTTCGTTGGGAAATTTTCAGTAAAAATTAGCCAGTAACGAAATCGAGATGTAAGAAAAAAAATTACTGAGTTTTCATCGAACTAGATTCAGTAAAAATTAGCCACCAAGTTGTCCAACAGCTGTTTATTTTGACGGTTAAAATAGAATCGGTACATTTATAAAGTTAATTTTTACTGATTTTAAGTATTTTAATAAAATTGGCCATTATATAGCATTTTAAATATATTAAATGTATTTAAAATTTATTGTATTTCAACAATGATAAAATTCTACATGCTTTAAAACCGTCCAACGATAAAGATAACAATATATTTTTTTAATAGACCTCTGAAACTGATCGAAATTTAATGTAAAACTTGCTTTGCAAAAAATTAGTGGTTTAGACTTTCAGGAAAGATGACTTAAATATGAAAATCAGTTTGAAATTCTATTTCGGTATAAGTCGACTTAAAATAAAAAACCAAGAAAGCGCTTTATTTTCTCTTCTAAAAGTCACTAATATTTCATTTTGTGTCCGGAAGCGACGACCGGAAGCTTAAGGGGCACACCTAGTGTGAAATTTCAAAAAAATCGATCTTTTTTCCATATTTCGGTAGATTACACCTTTAAAAATTATACTTATTAAAATTTCAAATCGATATCTCAAATAGTTTTTGAGTTATAGTGATTTAAAGAGCAGCCGCTCGGCAGCCAGAGAGTCTCATTAGCTACGAGTGAAAACGATTATTTTATCTTTAAACGCGTTTTCCTCGAAACAGCGTTTTCCGAAGTTGCTGCAGTGATTACTCAAAAACAAATGATCCGATCACTATATATAGTTCTCCGTGCAATGACCTATGGATTTTTGATCTGATAAAAAAATCGAATTTTGGCAGGCCCAAAACGACCAAAATTTTGGGTAAAATTCGACTATTTTTTTTTAAACGCGATATTGGCGATATTGTCAGTTTTTAATTTTTTTATTGTTAGTCATTGTACAGACAATATTATCTAGTAGAGAATTTTTTTTTTAGATTTCATCCACGGAGAAGGCCGGAATCACTGCAGCAGTGAAGACTTTTTTTGCGCCGTTGGAGAACGGCTATAACTTAAAAAATATTTAATTTTTTTTTTTTCAAAAATTTCACTGTAAATTCTTGAAACATGTATAAATATATTCTTAAAATTTTGAAATAATTGATAAAGTGTTTTTTTTAATAAAATTTCCCAAAAATCAGCTTTTTTTAAGGCATTACACTAGGTGTGCCCCTTAAGCACGCACTGTCGTGACATATGACGGTTGCAATAATTTTGCTTCACAATGTTTTCTGGCTCATTTGGTCAACAATGCTTTCTAGCGAATTTTAGAAATAAAAAATCAATTCGCTGAAATTTTCCCAGCACGAGTTTGCAACTTTCACTTCAAACCAAACGTCAAAATTGGGATTTCTCGTTAATAGTTTTTCTGGTTTTTTGGCTCAACGAAGACGATTCAGTAGAGTTTGGTAAAAATTGTTACTGCTCATCTAGTCGCCGTACAGAACTATTATCTGTTCACCAGATTTCCGGTTGTTTCGGTTCATCTCTGGCTCATCGTTTGGGGTTTATTTTAATTGAAAATCTATTTTATTAAATGCCAGAAAAGCATTTTCTTGTACGTTGTATATGATTGAAGCATATTTTTTTTTAAAAAGTCATCTCGCAAAGTCCAACGGTAGGTATAACTGCGCTTGATAAGATAACCAAATTCTTGAGAATTTAAGTTCCCTTTGGTATCACATGCCCCTGACTAAACTTAGCACATGATTTTTTTTTTTTTTTTTTTCATTATAATAAAGGTAATCAATTTATATCTACAAAAATGTATTTTTAGTTAAATTATTACAAAGAAAAATAGGTTAAAATATTAATCACCCAAATAAGTGTAAAAACCTATTAAAAATCAAATATAAAATGAATAAAATAGTTACACTTTTTCTGTGTAAAATAATATTTTATTGTTATTATTGAACTAAAAATTATGCTACCCTTATAGTTAATTTTTTTTAATTGATTATCTTTTATAGTCCAATTTTTTCTCATTTGTCATAATTTAATAAAGTTTCATTTAACGGTGCAGCGAGAAATGCCAGTAAAAATTAGCAAGTAACGAAATTCCGCTTTCTCAGTACTATTCAGTAACAATTGTTATTGCCCAGCAGCTCACCGAATACAATAAATATTAGCTTAAGTAAAAGGTCATGAATTATGTGTGCGGTCTAGCGTTGTCCTGGTGGAATATGACATCTTTACGATTGACCAATTCTAGTCGCTTCTCCTTGATGGCTGTATTCAATTTCTCCAATTGTTGACAGTAAACATCCGAATTAATCGTTTGGTTCCTTGGAAGCAGCTCAATCCCACCAAACATACAGCACAACCTTCTTTTGGTGGATATCAGCCTTTGAAGTGGTTTGAGCTGGTTCACCATGCTTGGACCATGATCGTTTTCGACTAACGTTGTTGTAAACAATCCATTTTTCATCTCCAGTTATGATTCGTTTTAAAAACGGATCGAATTCATTGCGTTTAAGGTGCATATCACAAGCGTTGATTCGGTGTGTTAAATGAATTTCTTTCAATACATGTGGTACCCAAATATCAAGCTTTTTCACCAGTCCAAGACTTTTTATGTGATAATGAACGGTTGATTTTGGTATATTTAACTTCTCTCCTATCTCACGCTCAGTTACATGACGATCCAATTCGATTAATGCTTTGATTTGGTCATCATCAACTTCATTTGGCCGACCTGAACGTGGCTCATCTTTAAGTGAAAAATCTCCAGAACGGAATTTGCGAAACCAATTTTGACACTGTCTTCCTTTTAAGGCTTCATCACCATACACATCTCGTAACTTTTTAGCAACCTGCTCCGCGTTTTTTCCTTTACGGAAATAATAAAGTAAAATATGACGAAAATGCTCCTTTGTGGGCTCCATATTAAAATTGACGCCAAACAAACAAATGTAAACAAAATTTCGCGCACTTTTTTTCTAAAGCAAGCTAAAAGTAACAGCTGATAACTGAAAGAAGAAAGAATGCAATTACAGAGTCACAAGCCGTTGAAAAAATTAGTCAACGCCGACTATATGAAAAATCCGCAATTACTTTTTGGGCAACCCAATATTTTTGCATTGAATTGATGACTTTAACCGATTTATGCCAAATATGCACAATTTCCCTACTGCTGTCCAAGGCAGGGAGCTTCTGGGTCATTGCTTCCTTCAAACGGTCCAATTGCTGACAGTACAGGTCCGACTTAAGATTTTGGTCGAAGCGGAGCAGCTCATAGTGGATGCCCTTCGACCGTGATTGTTGTTTGACGATGCTGTAAGTGATGCATCCTTCATCTACAAGTACCACTCACCATTTGAAGCAGAAATTTATTTATTTTATTACGACTCAGCAGCGATTTCCAAATTAAAATTCTGTCTATAAGATTTTTTCTCGTTAACTCATATGGCACCCATACATCGAGCTTCTTTGTGTAGCCTGCCTTGCTCAAGCGGTTTCAAACAATTTTTTGTGCAATATTTAACTTCTGGGCAATATTTGATGTTTTTATTGGCTCACTATAAGTATGCTCGTATATGTACATATGTAGATGCGGAGTCTGCCAACTGCGTAATACTAACAATTAAGGCAGACTGAATTCTGATGGCTCCGAATATTCGATAAAATCCGTTATATGGAATAAAGATGTTGTTGATACTCTATTGCGCTCATATTCAATTTGTGTTCAAATAATAAGTATACATTTTTATCGCATTCTGTCCAGTGGTTAAATTTTGAACTCAAAAATGAATGCTGCCACGCTCGGCCGAAATTTTTTTCCGACTCTCATATTTTTTTTTTTTATTTATCAGGTGTACAACTTTTCTTCCGCCGTTTTTTCCAAAATTAAAAGCTTTATTGTGAAAAAGTGCTTACAGATGTATTATTCAAAGTATTGTCCTTCGCTAGCGACAACTTTCTCCCAACTTTTCGGCAATTTTCGGATCCCGGCTCGAAAAAAGGAGTCCTCTTTTGACGCTATCCATGAAGCAATCCATTTTTCCAATTCTTCGAAGGATTGAAAATGTTGATCTGCCAGGCCGTGTGCCATCGAACGGAATAGGTGGAAGTCAGAAGGGGCGACATCTGGGGAATACGGCGGGTGGGGCAAGACTTCCCATTTCAGCGTTTCCAGGTACTTTTTGACCACTTTTGCGACGTGAGGCCGAGCATTGTCGTGTTGGAGGATGACTTTGTCATGTCGCTCTTGATATTGTGGCCGCTTTTCTTTTAGCGCGCGACTAAGGCGCATCAGTTGCGTTCGGTAGCGATCTCCTGTGATGGTTTCACCCGGTTTTAAGAGCTCGTAGTAAATCACACCGAGCTGATCCCACCAAATACAAATCATAACCTTGGCGCCGTGAATATTCGTTGAAACCACTCCCGACACGTTCTTTCACTCAGAGCAGCATCACCGTAAGTTTCTGAGAGCATTCGATGCGCTTCAGCTGCATTTTTTTTTCGAATTGTAACAGAAAAGTAAAACTTCCCGCAAATGGCGAGAATTAGGCACATAAACGGACATTTTCGAGCGTGAATAATACGAAAACAAGAACAACTGTCACTGAAACGGCGATGACAATTCGTTAGGCACTGTCCACACTCACTTTAAAGGCATTATCATATATGTATTTCAACCAGCCTCAGCCGGTACAGCCACTTTGTACACCTGATAATACGATCGTCCCAAACAAATATGACTTCAAAAGTAAATTATTATGATTATCGTACATTCCAAAATCACATTATACGGGATGGGGACGTAAATTTGGTCCAAGGATGGTGGTTTTTTTTACACATCAATACTTTATTATTGCAAATATATTATATTGCTAACTATCCGATGAACTTAAGTTTTCTTAATGCCAAAGCTTCAGGTTTTCAGCCCAAAAAATTCTATCATTGAATTACTAAAATGGAGCGGTTAACGAATATTCTACAATATCGCATGTTTGTTTTATTTTTTCCAAAAACGTTAATATGAGTCACGCCCATAATTTTTATGTTCAAATTTTCGTTCATAATATCCCACTGTACACCTATTCACCGCTTTGAATTTTCAAAAACGATTTTTTCACCAAATAGGGATTATTCATTTCCCAAAAGCTCTTTAACAGACAAAGAAAATATGCGAAAATTGGTATTTTTATTAAATATTTTATATTATTCGCTTTGAATTTTCATTTTTAACGTTTTTGTCATTATTTTCTTTTGCCATTCGTATTATTGGACACCAAAACTTAGAGTAACTAGCTATAGAAATTTTTGTTAAAAATAATATTTATTTACATTTAATTTAAATGTTTTTTTTTTAATTTTTTTTAAATTAAAATATATTTGTTCGACATAAAACTATGCACAACGTCTTAACTGTGATTATTGTTAATTTTAAAAAATTTGAATACAAGTCTGTAGAATTTTATAGTCAAAATGTTGTCGTAACCTTGTATTGTATGAACCTTGGATTTCACCCATTTACGATAGGGAACGAAGAGTCATCAAAATATCATAATCCACCAATGGGTTCGAGGCGGTCCGATTGAACACACACAGACATCGCTAAATCTATTGAACTCGTAATTCCTTAAGGTTTGATGCATAAATACATATATGATATAGACATACACGGTGTGTCCTAAAAATATCCGAACTTTATATTTAAATCAAACCACATACAGCGCCATCTATTGAAAATTTGCAACATTAAAAAGATACATTCATCCTCTTTCAAACGCACCTAACATCATGTAAGTCGGATGACAGGTGTAAAAGTGACAGCCATTTCAATAAAACCAAAAGTGTGCTAATGGCTCAAAAATAAAATGAAACAAAGAGCAAGTATAAAATTTTGTTTCAAACTTGAAAAAAAAATTAATGAAAAAAGTTTATTATGATGATTGTATGAGTCGTACGCAAGTTTATACGTGGTTTACACGATTTAAAAATGGTCGTGAGGATTTAAAGGACGACCCTAGAGCAGGACGTCCAGAAACTAGTAATCGTGCTGAACTGGCGGAAAAAGTCCCTGAAATCATTGGTATCGATGCAAATTTTAATACGAGTATGTTGGCTGAGGAATTGAATACGAGTAAAAACACTATTTGGAGAATTTCAACTGAAGATTTGGGGAAAAGAAAGGTCTGTGCGCGAATTGTTCCACATGAATTAATTGACGACCAAAAAATCGCTCGAATTTTTTATGAAAAAAGGGATTTCTCTCATCGACCAGCCTCGGTATTCGCCTGTTCTATCACCATGAGACTATTTTTTATTTCCAAAACTGAAAACCAAGATGAAGGGAGCATTTTATGATGATATTCCAATCATTCAAGCAGCCGTAACCGAGGTACTGAAGAACATTTCTATAAATGACATAAAAAAATCTATGCATGCGCTGGTTGATCGTTCCAAACGTTGTGTTGAGTCAAATGGAACCTGTTTTGAATAAATAATAACTTTCAAAGATAATATAATGTGTATTTTATTTTATATCCAAAAAGTTGGGTTATTTTTGGGACACACCGTGTATGTACAATCTACCTCGGATATACTCAGCTGGGTATAAGAAAAAACGAAAATACTAAATATACCAAAGTTAATTAATGCCAACAGCTAAGAAACAAAAGACTAGCAACAAAATTCAATTGATATCTATATGTCCCTTAAAACCTCTTCGATAGTCATATAGATAATAGCTTGGTGATAATTGTACGAGTATGCACATGTATGAACGTGTGAAGAAATTGCTCAAAAACACTGGCAATAAATATTGATAGTTTATATTGAGACAATAAATATATTATATATATTGGCCATATTGGTATAAACAACTGTCTATTTACATATAAATAGTATGTGTAACCGGCCAGAATGGGCGGGTTATTAGCAGTGCGTACTATCATTCGGAAGTCCAGGGTTCGGTTCCGGACCCGATCTCCCCCGCCGCCGAGAATGTAAGCCTGTAGGTTTGTAAATACGAATATGGTATACCAAATTTCACGCTCCGAGATTCTTTTTTTGACGAATTTTCGGCCAAAAATCTCGTATCTGCACAAATCGATTGTAAGGGGGCTCCATGATATAGTCATCCGATTTCGATGGTTTTCGGTGACGACGTTAATTTGTAAATACGAATGTGGTATACCAAATTTCAAGCTCCGAGATTCTTTTTTTTGACGAATTTTCGGCCAAAAATCTCGTATCTGCACAAATCGATTGTATAGGGACCATATGACATAGTCCTCTGATTTCGATGATTTTCGGTGGCAATGTTTATTAGTCGATGCAAATGTAGTATACCCAATTTCCCGCTTCGAGATCCCTTTTTAACGTAGTTCTGACCAAACTGGAGCGATCTGGTCGGTTCAGTCAAATGTTCGTTTAAATGTACCAATGCATCTATGTACCAAATTTGATTGAAATATCTCACGTTCATGGCTAAATCAACTCTACCTCTCATTCTAATCCAACCAGTATACATTTTTAAGGGGTTACCTCTTCTCCTTTTGGTGGTGCCTACATTCTTCAGACCAAAGTTTATATAAAATATCATTTCATGTATCTGAAAGGTATAATAATATGTGTTTGTAAACATGCAAATACATATGTATGTATATATGATTCATCACATAAAAGTTCTCTATGAACACACATACATACATACATACATACATACATACGCGTTAACTTACCCATGCCATTAACAAAGTAGAAACAGCTCGCTAGCAAATTACCCACGCCCGCACACAGCAAAATCGGGATATGCCAAAAAATGATGCGACCCTTTAAAAATTTCACCATAAACATAATAACGGCAATAACGCAGCCAGCGCAACCACCAAATATCATTGGCCCATACTCAATGAGTCCGGCATTGACATTGCGTTTGGCGATCAGTGAGCATATTGTATAGCCAAATATGAGACCACATGGCAGGAAGGTTAAGCACACTAAACAAAAAAAAATATATATGAAATTTTTTAAATTTTTTTCTCATGTTATTTTACATATTTGTTTAATTTTTATTTTATTTATTTTTTTATTTTTTTTATTTTTCATGATTTTTTTTTTTTTTTTGTTTTTTTGTTTGGCTTTATTTGCATTTAGAACCTACCCACAAAAGTCGGTGCAAACAAGAAAAGTTTATTCACGAAATTCTCCCACAAATTTGCGATTCTAAACGCCATCTCTTACTGCGCAGTGAGGTTAAAGGTCAGCAATCGGAAAACAAGAATTTATTGAATTTATTTAGTTAAAAAGTTTTGCGCATAATTCGTTACAATTTTTCATTCCAATCATCACACTATCTCACTCGTCACGTACCGTACCTTGACCACGCACTTTACACGGTAATTGCCATGAATTGGCTTCCTCAGTGTAACGATCCGAACTGAGTTGTGTTATGCCTAGACTGGGCATGGTCCGTGTGTTAACTCATTTTTGCGGCCAACTTTTTTTGTTTTTGCCTTGATAATTTTTGATAACGTCTGTACTGCCAATCGTGATAAGATAACGGTTGTTTAAGGCATAGTACAACGCATAGTACATACATACATGTGTGCGTGTGGGAAGTACAGGAATTTGGCTTAGTGGAATAGACGTCGAGCGAATACTTGACGGGGAATAGAGCAGAAATGTTTGTTCACATTTTGTTGGTTCATACGAATTTTTCTTTTTTACTTGAATTTTTGTTGACGTCTTTATTCATACTTAATTCCTTATCTTTTATGATTTCCCAAAAGCTATTTAATTACATATGACGTTTAAATAAAGAGAAAAATCAAATAAATTAAATAAAATTAATTGCTGAAGGTCGCATCTATTGCAGATTTACAGGGGCTGCTACAATTTATCGAACAAATATAGTATGTGTGAGCTATATACTGGTCTAGTAAAAAGTAATCCATTAATTTTGGAATAGCTGCCTTTAGTGATCTGTAACTCGCGTTCCATAAGCGCTATTGTAATACTACAGATGGCGTTAGAAAGATGATGTTTTATGCCAAAAAAAAGGTAATGGTTGGTGGATGATGAAAGGTGGATCACTTATATCAACTTCAAACAAAAACTGTCGTGGTTGAAAGGCAATGAGCTGGCACAAATGAACTCCAAGCCAGGTTTGATAGTGGTATTGGCAAGAATTCATACACTAAGAGCTGTTCTGTTACACCGAAACACTTAATTTGGATCTGTACTGTCAGTTATTGGATCGTTTGAAGGAAGCAAATGCCCAGAAGTCCCCAGCTTTAGCCCACAGGAGAGCAAATAGTGTTTCATCAGGATAACGCCAGATCTCACACATCGATAGTGACTCGCCGGAAAAAACGAGAGCTTATTTGAGAAGTGCTTATGCACCCACCTTATAGTCCGGAATTCGCACCAAGTAATTTCCATATATTCCTGTCTATGGCGAATGATTTAGCTGGTGCAGAATTGGCCTCAAGAGAAGCCTTTGAAACTCGATCGTCAGTAGGGACAAGGGTTTCTATGAGATAAGCATACTTTCATTACCTTCAAAATGACGAAAAGTTGGAAAGCATAACGATGCATATTTGGACCTTACCTTCAACAAGGTATGTTCCAAGTAGCGAACAAACTGAATGTTCAATATGATTTTAATGAATAAATCGAAATACGTTCACAACAAAATATAAATTCTGTAAAGTTGGACCAAATCACTGATGAATAAGAAAGTTAATCAAATAAATAAATTCGCTATGTATCGTGCATAAATATCATGTTTAGGATTTGCGTTGATCCCCCCGTCGAGATGTTAACCTGAGAAAGGCAATAGGACATTACTTATATTGAATCTGTTCTTAAATGGTATCGGAATCATCATTTCAGTCAATGTTGCTACCAAGATGATGTTAAAGTTCGATGCTGAAAATTTCAGATCTCTGTCTTTTACCGTTTCTCAATGAATGAAGAAATTCTCAAAATCTGGAAAATATTTTTTCCTACCTCCTGGAGAATTGATTGGTCTAAATGCTAGATATGCTGTAGAGGATTATATACAGTATGTAATCCGCGGTAGACGAGTGGTTAGCATTGCGTACTGCCATTCGGAATGCGCGGGTTCAAATCCTCGGGCGACCAACATTCAAAATTTATAGAAAATTAATTTATATTAAAAATTAAGTCAAATTTTCTAATTGCTATCACCCCTCGGCAGGGAATGTCAACCCCTCCGAATGTACTTCGGGCATGAAATTAAGGCTCCTCGTAAAAAACCTTCAGCCGTTCGGAGGCGGCTGAGTATAAATTGTAGGTCCCTCCATTTGTTGGAGAACCAACAAGACGCACAACCACAAATTGGAGGAAAAATGGCTTCAGCGGTTACAAAGCGGTTATATATAAATCGATATATCTGAATTACTTGATACATCTTCTCGTTATTTGATGTCTATAAGTTAGATATCTTCTAGGCTTCAATCTAGACAAATCATACTTATCTTAATATGCTGATAACATTGATATCATTGGGCTCAACAACCGTGCTGTGAGTTCTGCTTTATCCGGACTAAGCAAAAAATGATTCAAATGAGTCTTGGTAGAGGATATGTCTCATGTCTTCAAGTCCGCCTCAATGTTTTCAGCGACGATAGATGCGAATGGCTGGAACAGAGGTCTGAAATATGCAGACAAATCCCTTCATGTTTTCACAGATGGTTCTAAAATGAATGAAGGAGTGAGAACTTCAGTTTACCGCGCCCCACTGGAGGTAAGGGAGTCGTATAAGCTATTTCAGTATCTTCGAAGCCGAAATGTTTGTCATAAAAATGGCGGCAAAGCTACCGCAGTGTGCCGGCTTTCAAGCCAAAAGAATACACTTAAAACTGCTTAGTCAAGCGGCCATAAAGACCTTAATGTCATACAGCACGAAATCAGCTGCGGTTGCATTATGTAAGGAAGCGATTCAAGCACAGGCTGAAAACAGAAGAGTGTATATTGACGAATTAGCTAAAGAGCAGGACGCAACATCCAATCTTCCAGTTCCAATCAAGGAAGTAAAGAAGAAACAAAAAGTGATATTACATCGTTAGGTGAATGGGCGCTGTGAACGAGCTAACAGGCTGTAGAATCATGAAGATTATGTTTAAAACATACAATACTAAGCTCACAAAGTCTGTACTATCTCTTAAGAGACCGGACTACTGATAGGACTATTAACAGGGCATTGCTTTCTGGCATCTCATGCGTTTAAGATAGGTCTGACTGCGGGCAACAAGTGTAGAAAATGTAAGGAATGCAAGGAGATAGTAGAGCTAGGTGTACTTGGCGCAGACAGAGTACAAGATCTTCAAACAACAATGATCAAGGAGTCTGAACGACTACTTAAGTTCGCGAAAAGAACAGCAATGTTCTTCATACTACAGGCTCAGTAGCAGAGTAACAGCACAGCTTGGTCGCATGTAGTGTGCCTGGCAACACTATGAATGCATTATTGGCTATGTGAGACCCAGTGGGTCAGCCAGGCTAACCAGACTTAAGTGCGCCTCGAGGTTCAACAGGTGCTACTTTCCATCGAGTGGGCAATTGAAAATTAAAGTCCGCTCTGGACGAAAAAAGATTAAGATTTGGTTCTTACTTTTGGGTAGGGATTGTCAAAATCATGAAAAATAATAGCCAACGAAAATCTCCACTCTTTATGCCCACACATTCAAAAAATCACGAACCTCAAGATTATCAATCTAACAAATAGAAAATCAAATGAAGTTCAAGCAAACCTAAACCCTAAACCCTGAGAAAACATTGATTCGCTGTCGTAGTAACTTTTACCCCATTAAGTTCGCCTTGAGGAGAATCCATTGAAAAACTATTATTCTACATGTCTCATCGTCATTCATATTCGATGGCAGACCGTTGGACTCATCAATCAGTTTTGACTGTGCGTGTACATATATAATATATAATATTATGATTCATAAAAAATTTGATAAATGCTAAAGGAATTCCCAATTAATGATAGATCGATTTTTTTAGAAAGAGCTCTGTATGCCCGGGTACTCGTTCATTACTCAACTGTATATCAAAGAGGTTTAAGAATTTAGAACTTTGCGTACAAGACTGATTATATTGCCGCGATTGTGGTAACCCTGCAACCTTTTCCCTTCTCCCGGCATCCTTCTACCCTCCCCAGATATATTTGCCATCGCTCTAGCTTGTTTAGTTCGCCTGCTTAGTCTTGTTGAGTAAACGTGTATTCGTGGTGCTCGTCACGAAAATGGAACAACGATATTAAGAGCAACGCGTCGCGATAAAATTTTGCGCCAAATTGCACGAAACAGCTTCGGAAACGATCGATCATTACAGGCGATGAAAGCTGGGTTTTTCAATCAACAAAGCTCACAATGGTTGCCCCCCATGCCTCCGCCCTAAAAAAGCTTGCATGAGCAAGTCGAAGGTGACAATGATGATTCGTCAAGTAGTCGAAATATTGCGAAAACCAGTCAACAGGGTGCGCCCAGACATCGCTCGTAACTGGGTCCTTCATCACGAAAACGTGCCGTGCCACACCGTCCTCCGCGTGTCCCAGTATTTGGCCTCTAAAGGGATCGCAACAACCGCCTTATTCGCCCTAGAACAAAATCGGTGGGCATTTTGAGTTGATTGAGAATATCCATGCGGCCGTGATGAGGGTACTTGCGGACATCCCAGTCGGAGCGTGCCAGAAATGTTACGAAGCATGGTAAACGCGCTGGAATCGTTGTATAGCTGCCCAAGGGGACTACTTTGAAGGTAATGGCAGAGTTGTAGAATAATTTTGAAATATGCGGTTTTTGTGGAATCAGTCTCATTACTTAATTGTCACACCTCGTAGTTAAACAAGTCTGAGAAAGCTCCAAATGGTGGAACATTGTACGAGGGTGCGAGTACTCGTTGTTAATATGGTCTAGCTGTTTGAATAGTTCTAACAAAATCTTGAGTTTTAGTTTTAAAGTCACGTCGCGTTTTTAAAAGAAATCCCAACGGCTTTATTTGCAAAAATATTAAAATTTATATAGACGCATACATATGTAGGTAAGTAGTTTTAAAACTTAGTAAAATCTTAGATTCTCATGATGATAGCATAAAATTTACTCTCCCTCAATAAAATGTTCCCTTTCCACTGCCAATGCTGTCAAGCCTCTCACAAACATTCGGTAGCTCCTCTTTCTCTGCAACGTCTTTCGGATATTGCTGAAACACACGTTTCCCATCCAACTTCACACATCTCACATCATTCGGTTGCAGGCCGTGATACATAAAATAGTTCGTATTCCATAAATTCGTTTGCGGTGGCGTTTGTGGTCGCTGTCTTTTGATGCCCATCAATTTATTACGCATCTCAATAAGACCGCACGAGTTGGGCATAAATATAATTACAAGCGCAATGCTTACTGCAGTCAAGAGTATATTGAATATACCAATGCCGAGGAGTTCATGCCATGCGTCATCCGCCAACGTTTCATACTTTAACATCTCCAAAACAAGCAGTTCCATTACAAAGAACGCCGAGAGTACCAGCTCGGTGTAGAGTAGTGGCGTACACTCGAGTACAACTTGCAGCACCACACTGGAGTAGACACCAATGCATGCATAGTAGAAGCATACAAAGTAAAAACATTCCTGCGTGGAGTTATCCACGTAAACACCCAGTATCGCAGAGAGTGTTGTGATTTTAATTACGCCAAACATCAGATAGACCAATTTCGGCTTGTAACGCACCATCAAAACACACCCCAATAAGCAACCCGATGCGTAGAGCAGAAAAGGTAGATACAGATATTGCGTTATCAGGTAGGCAAAAGTTGCGCTGCGTGCCAACTCCAGATAAGAGGTGGAGTATATAAGCGTACGCTCCAGCACCAAAATCAACGCTATACCCACAACCAACCATTGGCGGTTTCGTGTGACGTAGAAATCATTGCGACACGTGAAAAGCGCATAAATCGATTTGCTCGGTAGGAATACAAGTTTCTCCTCATTCAGCAAATTGAATGCAAGATCATACGATACTTTGTAATTATAAAGACCCATATGTTGTAGCAGTTCATTCAACACTACACCACTGAGCATGGACAATATAATGCCCAGATAGATCCAACCGTAAAGTGCCGCCTCGAACTCATTAAATATGCTAAAACCCAGTGTTAAACCGCTGAAGTACAACGCGTTGCCGAATGCGATGCGCGCTGGACGAACTCCACGCGCAGAGCTGCGCAAGCTGATGTAACTGTAGCAGGGTATGAGTGTTTTGCCAAAGCCGATGAAACCGAAGTAAAAGCAAATATCTAGGAAATATCGTTAATAAAGACTCGTCAGATAAACCAAAAAAAAAAACACCGCCTTTAGCTACTTACTTAAGTTGTCTGTCAGCATAAAGCAAGAACTGATAACATAGCATACCAGCCCATAGAAAATCACATAGAAATGCTCATAACTATATTTGCGCTGCAAATATTTCCTCAATGTTAAGCCGCCAGACAAGGCTACGGCTACAATGCCGCCAAGCAATGCATACCAATGGATCCAGAGATTATTATACACGTAGGCATACTTACAGTAGTAGCCAAAGAAGCAGCCGCTCGCGAATAAACACAGAAAAACTAAAAAATAATAATAATATATTTATTTCATGTAAAGAAAAGAATTTATTTTAAATATCTCCACTGGTTGATTACCCAAAATATCGGGGAAATGATACATTTCCGCTGAGAATGAATGCGCTGTAGAGTTGTCTTTTCACATCTGCCCGTGAGTAAGCTTCAGAAACAATTGAGACGCTTTCGTCTTTACAAATTCTTGCGTTGCTGACGAATACTCATCAATATTTGACGCGTTAAGATAAAAAAAATATTTTGTTGCAGACCTTATCTTTGACTAGAAGTAATAATGTGCATGTATCGAGGAGAGTTAAGTGAGAATTTTACTTTACTCTTTTAAAAGATTTTAAAGCTGTAAAATGAATTTTCTGCTCGGTAAATGTAGCACGCCAATCGGGGTTTCTCTTCGCTGTTTAACGCATTGGGGAATACCAAGTGAATCTACAGAGCTCTCAACCCGATTCCTCCAACGTGGCGGAGATCTTTCTTTACATCTGCGTCCATCAGCGGGTACTGCATCGCATACTTTCGATGGACGGCATAACCCAACCAATGTAGCCTCTGTCTCATTATTCGCGAACTATGTCAATGTTGCCCTATAAGTGGTTCCATCATCTGCGGTATTCACTGTTGCCAATGCACAAAAACGTTTTTTTCGAACATTTCTGTGGCTCATTGGAAGTGTAAGATTAAGTTGAAGAGCTTTCATAATTGAGAGTCACCCTGTCTAATACCTCCTGTAATATCGAACGGCGCGGAGGGGTCTTTCCCCATTATAACTGCGCTTCTGTGCCAATATCCGCAGAAACATAAGTCTTTTTGACAATCCTCTTCCCAAGAACCTTTTCCAGGATTTAGTTCAATATCTTATTATTTGTAGATTTGCGATTTAAAAAGCCAAGCTAAGAAGGTTAAATCTTTTTGTTAATGGGCAATCTTTCACACAATAAACTCGATAAGATCTTTGATATTGGAAAGTCTTACACCACGGTAATTAGCGCAGACTGTTGGGTCTCCCTTTTTATGGATTGGGCTTACAGAGGTCCCAATCGTCGGTCATACTTTTGTCCCACCATGTTCTACCGCCTTGTTGAAAAACGACTTTTCCATCATCTTTGATTAGAGATTCAGACTCATAATCTTCAGGTGTGACATTATCACTGTCACATAGCAGGCTGAAGAAGTATTCCCTCCATCAGCTCAGTATGCTCTGTCACCAGAATACCTTCTTGTCTCCGTTATGAGTATGCTCCGGTCTTGAAATCTTTCTATAAGTCCTTACACTTTGTTGGTCTCCAAATCCGGCCTACTTCACTCTTCACATACGATCGCAAGGTTGTGAGATAGGCAGTCTCATTGCCGACATTGTGTAGTTTGTTGTTGTTGTTGTAGCCGGGTGTGACAATCCTTGGCTGGATAAAAATTCAGGTCACATCGATATAAGGACCCGACTGTTGCGAAAACTTTTGGACTTTAGTCGCCTCTTACGACAGGCGCAGCGGCTACATTGTCTAGTTTCTATAGCAGCGGTTTTAAAAGATCTAGAAATGTCGTTTCACAGTTTCATTACATCGAGGTGCTGATGAGTGCTTTCCGATCGAACAGGTGATCACAGCCGTGAGCTCAACTCGAGAAACTAAGTTCCCCTACTTCAGAGGCTGTACAATGGTGTATCTCATTTATCACAACATGATCGATTGATTGTGATATTGTGTATCCGGTGACAGCTCAGAAGTGCATTCCAGACACTCATAGAAAACTTGTTTGTTCACAACGTCCTTCTCTTCCCTTAACACATGAGCGTGTAATAAGCGATATATTAGCTACACTTTGAAGCGAATTGTGACGTTGATCCGTCGGGATGAAATCCAGTACTCGACGACAAAGTCACTCTTGCATCACAAATCTAACATCGAATTTCCGATTTTGGTTTGGCTACTTTAGTAGGTTTCACAAAGGCCTACCTTCTTTCGCCCTTCTACCGTTCAGCGTACTTCTTGGTAGGCGACGATGACAGCCTTTTGTCTTAAGAGGATATCAACTAGCTGGACAGCGGTATATGTTCCAAGTTAAAGGACCGAACATTCCAAATGAATATCCGACCGTAGGTTAACTGGTATTCGTCTCAACCGAGCCATTTTACCAAAAAACCATATCGTAGCTACTCCTCCACAGGAAAAAAGGTCAGACGGTAACTGCAAACTGGTACACCGAAGAGTGTTTACCAAAAGTTTTCAAAAATTTGTTGGAAAACAGGAAGCAAGAGGGTTTGCGGCGCTATTTTTTACATCATGACAACGCGCCATCCCACTTTGCCGAAATAACGATCTTTGGGATCAAAAATATACATCCGGCACCATACTCCCCGGATATAACACCCTGAGATTGCTGGTTATTTCCAACAATTAAAAAAAAAAATTAAGGAAAGTTCTTTAACCGCAACGAGGAGGGAAGTAATGCGGTTAATGCTGAACTTGATAAATTTCTAAAGTAAGATTTCGAAGACCATTTTCGGTAGTGGATCTATGCGCTTAAGAAACACATTGAAATCAATGGGCATTATGTAGAGAAAGAAGAGAAAAGGTCAAAGATTACGAATAAATACAAAAAAAAATATTTTATTTTATTTTTTCTGGTCAACTTAGCGAACTTTTGTTCATTCCCTCCTATAGAATGTCGATTTATCAAAACCAATAACATAAACTATTTATATATGTAAATATTTCGGATTTCAAATAACACTGGAATTGCCCACATGTATTGTACCTACATATACGAGTAGATGTATATATGTATTGTATTTTCCAGCGAAATGTATGTACACACATTGCAATTCGCCGCACATCGAAAGCAACTCATACGCTGCGTACAACCCAACGAAAACAAAACAAACAAGGAACTGTAAACCGACGAAGTTGAGCGCACAGTCACTGCGCAAGTACAAATAATTTTGCGAATGCGTAGCTATATTCATGAATGAAAATACCGGTGAACGATTCTCCGAGAATTGGTTTGATGATTTTCACCCCACAATAACCGTTGCAATTGTTTACCACAACAAGCCGCCAATAACGCGCACGATGAGTAGACTACTACGAGTAGACAGTGGCGAGAGAGTTGGTGACTTACACAGCATACACGTAGAATCAAAGCAATCTGCGAGCCTTGCAATGCGTAAAATGCTATTTGTATGTGCATGCATATGTGTGCGTCAATGTGTGTATATATGCTTTTTGCTTTTCTAGTTTCCCCACTTTCGTTTCGCATGCTTCTGCTACCAATTCAATCAACCACCAGACGCATAACCACTCAAGCAGCAATGCATACGCGTCGAATATGCTTTTTATCGACATTTGCTTTTGTGGTACGTACTTTTGTAGTGGTTTCTATTTATACTCACCGCTTATCTATTTTTTTTTTTTTTTTGAGTTCTATGTTTTGGCTTGCCATTCTCAACTATGTACACATCCTCTTTATATGCTTTTATAGAAATCTGTGTGTGTATTTGAGCGGAGAATTGCGTGTGAACGAATGAACGAAAATTCCTTGCCACTTTGATAGCGGATATTTGACATTTATCGCGCCCGCACCAATATACCCATACACTCCCGTCAATATAGAAATATTTGGTTTGATGTTATATCTGTTTGTATATATACGTATGCTTTGTACATATCCTTTGTGTATTCGCCCTCATTTGCAAAAGCCTTCAATCACAAGCCATAGTGGTGGCGTTGCATGAAATCAACCCTTTTTCGATGGGAAATCATTATAGGAAATTTTGGAAATTTTCCTCTTCACAAATTCAGTGCAATTGTGCAATTATACTTGCAACAAAGCAATGAAATTGACACTGGTGAAAAAAGTGTTTTTTTGTTGAAAAAATGTAGTTGCAATAGTTGAAAAAGTGTTGAATACCAACATTGTGATAATCCAAAGGCATTTAATATCGTCAAATTGGCTGAAGTTTTTGGCATTTTTTGTGATTTAATGGATGAAAGGAAGAGAGTCCAAAATGTTTGTGACAAACTGGTTCAACAATCTAAGCAATCGCAGTTTGGCGATAACACTGTTAATTTGCATATCCTTAATATATGTATCATATACATTTAATTCGTGCCTATTAACGAGCATTAGTCGTACATTCCAAAAGGTGCGTCCATACAGAAAATATTTACCAAAGCAATAATGATTTATTTTTAACAAAAACATCATTAAATACCCACAAAGTACACCAAACTACTTACATATAATTCTTATTTCTTTACACATCACTAAAATTATCTTTGCATTAATTCGTCCTCGCCACAGAACCCTCTCCGCAGTCTACTCTTCGCCGATGATGCGCTCGTCGTTGTATCAGCTGCGCCTACAGCGTCTAGGCTTTCAACACCAAATGCAAGTCTCACTAATGCCAGCGTGGCATCAAAACAGACAACGGAAGCATTAAGCTTGAGCAATCATGGCGCTTCCGTTGTACGTAGTATATCCACCGCAAGTGGCTCAAATAACAACATCAATAGCAACAATGCCAGCAACGCTACACAAACACAGGAGCCGGCTGCTGATGGTTCGCCAAAATATCGTTTCCTACGCCAACAAGGTCTACATCCGTCTCGTCATCTTCCCGACACGCTCATCATTGGTGTGAAGAAGAGTGGCACGCGCGCCTTGCTCGAATTCATACGTTTACATCCGGATGTGCGCGCCGCAGGCTGTGAAGTGCATTTTTTTGATCGTCATTATCAGCGCGGTTTGCGTTGGTATCGTCATCATATGCCGTATACTATAGAGGGTCAAATAACAATGGAGAAGACACCAAGTTATTTTGTGACGAAGGAGGTGCCACAGCGTGTGCATCAAATGAATGCGGCGACAAAGTGAGTTAGGGGGGGCGGGGAAAATGAGGAGTTATGATTTTTATAAAAAAATATCTTGACATTTAGAGAGCGTACAGGTTCGGGCCTGAAGTTATCTCCGGGTGTTTATGCAGTATACTGTGCAGAAGACATGCTGATGTGCTACTGGGTTCAGGTGGTAGGTGTAAAACGAGAACAGTAGAGTCTCAACTGACTTTGCTACTGGGGAAAGGAAGAATAGTGGTCGATAAGACTCTCTTTGGTTATGGGAATGTTTTGATTTCGTTGGCTTTTTAAGCAAACATATTCATATGCATAAATGCGTTAATTTTGATTTTGAACTCAAAATATATTGTAGAATTTCCAAACGTCAATAACCCAACCCCTGGCGGCTCTGATAGCCGTGTGGTTCATAAAGTGCAGTGCGTACTACCTTCAGGAAGGCCATGAATTTTCTTCCAGACCCGACCAATATTCGCAATTGTAGAAAACCATCATTTAAGATTGCGGATACCCCACGGTAGAGAATGTCTGACAGCCCTTGGAAAGTATTCGATTAAACTGTAGGTCCCTCCGTTTACACACCAACAAATACCAAATTCAGACATTGAAGGAGCTCCAACGAATATCGCTTCAACGGCCACTAAGCGCCAAAGAAATTCATCGGGGAGGCATTTTACTGTCACCAAAGTACAGAACCGTGCAAAACAAGCCTGGGAAACGTGGAGGTCTTCCTCTTCCTCTGATTTCACGGGCGGATACTGCATCGAAAACTCTCAAAGCTGGAGTATTTGCGTCCATTCGGATTACATGACCTAGCCAGCGTAGCCGCTGCTTTATGATTGGCTGAACTATGTCAATGTCGAACTATAAAACTCGTACAGCTCATCGTTACATTTATCTGCGATATTTGCCATAACGCCGACTCATCAGATGTTGTAATCGGCCATGCATCCGCACCATATAGCAGGCCAAGAACGATGAGGGACTTGTAGAGTTTGGTTTTCGTTCGTCGAGAGAGGACTTTACTTTTCAATGGCTCATTCGTCCAAAGTGGCACCTGTTAGGAAGATTTTAAAGCTGACATTATTATTAGTGTTGATGCTGACCCCTAGATAGAAAAACTTATCTACGACTACAATGTTATGACTATCAACATGGACGTGGGAACCCAGTCGCGAATGCGATGATTATTTGTGAGATGATAGGAGATATTTCGTCATGCCCTCGCTCATTACCAGATCCATATCCTACGCTTCCTTATCCAGTTTGAAGAAAGCAGAACTCACAGTGCGATTTTTGAGGCCAATAATGTCAATGTCATCGGCGTACGCCAGCAGCTGTATACTCTTATCGAAGATTGCACCTTCTCTATTCAGCTCTGCGGCTCGTATTATTTTCTCCAGCAATAAGTTAAGGAATCCCCCTGTCTGAAACCTCGTTTGGTATCGAAAGGCTTGGAGAGGTCCTTCCTGACCCTGACGGAGCTTTAAGTGCTGCTTACTCAGTTTACTTAGTCGTATAAGTTTTGTGGGGATACCAAATTCAGACATAGTGGCGTAAAGGCAGCTCCAATTCGTGCTGTCGAAGGCGGCTTGTAAATCGATTAAGAGGGGGTGGGGGTCAATCATCTTTTCACGGGAGAATTAGCGCAGAGAATATCTGGTCAATGGTTGACTTACCAGGTCTGAAGCCACACTGTTGCAACCACCACCCAGTTTGTTGATGGTAGGCTTTAGTCTTTCATAAAATATGCTTGAGCTACTACTACTGGCACAATTATGGTATGGATGCTGTAGTAAACTCAGTTCCTACTTATCCAGTCTAGACCCTGACATACTCAACTTATATCCTACAAGCAATGAGTCTCTACACGACACTAACCAACTCCTTGCATGTCCATTAAACCAACAGATCTAACAGCCATCTCCCTCTGGTCCAAACTCATGGAAACAACTTTTTCGTTTGCTTCCGATTTAAGATTCTGCATTCAGCATAAGCTCAGAAAATCAATGGAGTTTGTTGAGGCGAAACCTTATAAATTCCAGTCGAACTCTGGAGTATGACTTATGCTACAGCCTTTGGTATTTAGAAAGCTTGCACTTATCGCTCAGTTCTACAGTCTTAGAAAACTTATACTTAACTTAGCAAGTGTCACTTAACAATTCTGGTTATAATTAGCGTATACATAGGGGAACATAGCTTCACTTAGAAGAGGAGGAGAACAATGCCATCGATAACTCTGCAGCAAGAGTTGAAAAGAGAAATTTCCGTGACATTTGTAAGAAAATTATGCTGAAAGAGGATATATTCATTAAAAAAAAAGCTTGAGACTTAATGGGGACGCTTTAGAGTAAACCCCAGATACTTTAGCGGAAGAAACTCCTTAAAGTAGTTGGGCCCCGTTAACTCCACTTAATCAAGTAGTAGCTACATAGAGATCATTTTCTCGCAGTCAGGGAGTAATTCAATGGAGGAGTCAGTTCCTTTTTTTAGCATTAGCACCTTCTTTAAGAATCTCTTCACTAAGTTCTTTAAGAATCTCTTCACTAAGTTCTCCGCCAACTTAACTGTAATGTAGAAAAACGTTACTAGGATCGAAATGTAGAATAGAAAGTAATGGCTAGTAAGTTCGAAGATTGTTCGAAACGGAACGTAACGCAAAAGCAAATTTGCCGAGCGAAGAAAATTTCGTTGCGAGTCGAAGACTGACTGAAAGAATGAGAGAGCGAGAGTTGGAATATCCAAAAAAATGTAACTTTTGACACATGCACAACTGAGCCACTATCGAATGGGCTTCAGTCTAATTGATGGATACCGAGAAATACAAATTTACTTGAACCTTAAAGCTCGTTATAGCAAGGCAATTCGGTTGAAATCATTAGCACTCGTTAGTTTTCAACTGAAAGATTCCTTACATAACTACAGTGGATCTACGAGGTTAGAATATATTAAAATGTTTCCTGGGAACCTGGAAACTCGTATTGAATAGTTGAGAAACCTTTCTAAGCCTCTTAAGTTTTGTGAGGCATTCGAATCCACATCTGCTTATACATCAAAGCTGAAGAAATAGTCTGATCTTTAAATGTTGATTGGCTGGTTGGTTGGTTGTTTGGGGATGTTGACGATCAAGACCCTCAATAGATAGTTCGTTTAGTCAGTAAATTGTTCAGTATTACATCTAATTTCATCATCATAGCTGTGCTCTCTTACTTTAATTTCAAGAAAATATCTTCTTCAGTAAGAAAGTATTAAAATTACAGTCGTCTTGCACTCGTAGGAACATAGCTGAGAGTAATATATTAATTCCTCAAATACTTGTATGTGCCTATAAAATTTGAGTACTTACAATTGTGAATGCTAAATTCCTCTAATTTCTTTCCAACAGACTTCTCATTGTCGTCCGTGATCCCGTGACACGAGCCATATCCGATTACACGCAAGCGGCTAGCAAAAAATCGGATATGAAACGTTTCGAAGATTTAGCTTTCGTCAATGGTTCATACGCTGTAGTGGACACCGCATGGGGACCCGTTAAAATTGGCGTTTACTCGCGTTATTTGGAAAAGTGGTTGAAATACTTTCCGCTCTCCCAATTGCTTTTCATCAGCGGTGAACGTCTTATAATGGATCCTGCCTACGAGATTGGACGCGTACAAGATTTTTTAGGTCTTAAACGTGTCGTGACTGAGAAACATTTTTACTTTAATGCGACCAAAGGTTTTCCCTGTCTATTCAAGTCGGAAGCCCGTTCGACACCACATTGTTTGGGTAAGACAAAAGGACGCAATCATCCGCATATCGAAGAAGCTGCCATTGAACGTTTACGCGAATTCTATCGACCGTTCAATAATAAATTTTATCAAATGACTGGCATCAATTTTGCATGGCCCTAAGTGTGATATGGCGTTGGCGGTATTTACATATGTATGTACGTAATGCGCTTAAAGCGTTAATTGTATGCAATTCTTTGATTTAAGTAATATGTCTACATACTTACTAACATACGATATTACAAATTTGTACATTTGTGTTAATATTGACAAGTTTTTAGCCAAATTTATTGCATTTAGTACATACTTAGTATGTCCATACATACATACATATTATATGTAGCTAAATCTAAGCGAGTATATAAATAATTACACGTAAATTAAGTACTCGTGCATACTTACATATATACGTATACAAATTTATGCATTCTACATTGAATAAAAAGAACGCTAATTTTTTTTTTTAGCGTTCGCATCAGAAACGCACATTTTTCGCTTCGAAACTTTATGAGCGAACTCAGCAATCTCCTAATTTACAAGTACCATATACAAATTAATACATATATAATAATGCATACATGCATACATATGCAGGTAGATGAGTAATGTAAGTGTTTGATACAAATTAAAATATAATATTATTAATGATAGGAGTTTATATTATATACTACATACATAGAAATGTAAGCGAAAAGTCTTCATCACAAAACGCACCAAACGAAACAATTAATATCTAAGCAATTGTGAAGAGATATAAGTTATATAATATTACACATATATGACACCAACGAAATCGATTTGATTTACGAATAATACGAGGAGGAATTATTCAACTTTCCTCTATATCGGCCTGAAAGTGGAATGAATGTGCTTAAGGGTCACACCTAATGTATTGGCCTAAAAAAGGTGATTTTGGGAATTTTTATTAAAAAAAATACTTTATCAATTATTTCAAAATTTTAAGAATATATTTATACATGTTTCAAGAATTGGCAGTGAAATTTTTGAAGAAAAAAATTAAATATTTTTTAAATTACAGTCCATCTCCAACGGCGCGAAAAAAGGTCCTTCACTGCAGCAGTGATTCCGGCCTTCACCGTGGCTGACATCTAAAATAAAAATTCTCTACTAGATAATGTTGTCTGTCCAATGACCTACGATAAAAAAAAAAACAAAAATTGTCAATATTGCGGTGAATTTTACCCAAAATTTTGGTCGTTTTTGGCCTGCCAAAATTCGATTTTTTGATCAGATCAAAAATCGATACGTCATTGCACGGAGAACTATATATAGAACATGTAAAAAAAAATCGATAGTGATCGGATCATTTGTTTTTGAATAATCACTGCAGCAAATTCGGAAAATGCTGTTTCGAGAAAAACGCGTTTAAAGATAAAATGATCGTTTTCCCTCGTAGCTAATGAGACTCTCCAGCTGCCGAGCGGCTGCTCTTTAAATTACTATAACTCAAAAACTATTTGAGATATCGATTTGAAATTTTAGTATGTTATTTTTAAAGGTGTAATCTACCGAAATATGAAAAAATATCGATCTTTTTTTTTTGAAATTTCATACTAGGTGTGCCCCTTAAAGTTATCAAACGATTTGCTAATTGTACAGTAAGTCATCTTCACTCAAGGAACCAATTCTCTTCTCTTTATTGGCTTTGGCACCGCTTACACGATTATAGCCAAAAATCAATATTAGCGCGCCATTCACACCTTCTTTTTGCTGTTTTGCAGCAATTGGTAATACCAAATGAATCCAGATCGCTATCCACCTGATCTTTCCAAGAGAGTGAAGATCTTTCTCTACCTCTTTTACCATCAGCGGCTACTGCATTGAATACTCTCAAAGCTGCAGACATTTTGTCCGAATAAATGGACAACATAACCTAGCCAACGTAGCCGCTGTCTTTTCATTCGCTGAACTATGTTAATATCATTACATAACTCGTAGAGGTAATCCTTCCATCGTCTGCGGTATTGGCGGTTGCCAATGAGCAAAGCACCATAAATCGATCACAAAACTTTTCTCTTGTAGACTCCCAGGGTCGACTCATCCGATATTGACATCGTCCATGCTTCTACGTCATATAGTAGAAGGGGTATGGTCAGCGACTTGTAGTGATTAGCTTTCGTTCGCCGAGAGAGGAGTTTATTTCTCAATCGCCTACTCAATCCAAAGTAGCACTTGTTGGCAAATGTTATTTTGCGTTGGATTTCAAAGCTGACATTATTACTGGTGTTAATGCTGGACCCTAGAAAGACGAAATTATCTACGACCTCGATGTTATGACTGTCAAACTGTCAACAGTGGCGTTGGAGCCATATCTCGATAACTGTTTGCTTGATGACAGGGGATATTTCGTCTTATCCTCGCTTACTACCAGATCCATATGATTCGCTTCCTTATGCAGTTTCGACAGCTCGGTTTTTGAGGCCTCGACGTACGCCAGCAGCTGTACCCTATTATAGAACGTTTTATCTTCTCTATTCAACTCTGCAGCTCTTTTGATTTTCCCCAGCATCAGATTGAAGAAATCACACTATGAAGAGTCAACCTGTCTGAAATCTCGTTTGGTATCGTACGGCTCGGAGGGGTCCTTCCCAATTCCGACTGCGCTTCTGTTATTCTCTAGCAGCAGTTTACATAGTCGTTTAAGTTTTGCGGAGATACCAACCGCAACTCATTTTCTTGCTGTCGAAGGCTGCTTTAAAATCGACAAAGAGGCGGTGTGTGATAAGATCCAGTCAGTTTGTTGATGGTGGACTTAGGCTTACACACAATACGTTTGATAGCATTTTATATGCGATATTAAGCAGGCTTATTCCGCGGTAATTTGCACAGAATGTGACAACGCCCTTTTTGTGGATTGGGTAGAACACACTTAGATTCCGATCGTCGGGCACATGCTTGCGTCCGATCATATTTTGCAAAGGAGCTGATGCATGCACCTGATCAATTCTTCACCGCCGTGTTTAAATAGTTGGGCCGATAATTCATAGGTCCCTACCGCTTTGTTGTCTTTTAAGGAAGCAATTGCTATTCGAACTTTTTCATAGCCGAGTAACGAATGTTCTTTTCCATCAACTTCGGTAGGGAGTTCGGGTTCACTATCTCCTGGTGTTTCATTGCTGCTGCCATTCCGCAGACGGGAGAAGTGTTCCCTCTATAAATTCAATATACTTTGGGCATCCGTTAGTAGCTCAGCTCTCTGTGTTCTCCGGTTTTGAAACCTTTTGTAACTGACCGTATCTTTTCGTAAAATTTTTTGAACATTACCATCGTGGGCCAACTTTTAAAGCTCTTCATACTCACGCATCTCACAGTTTTCGGTATCTATAGCAACACGCACATGTAGTGGTCGATTGCAACGTTGCGAGGCCTGTTTTCTCTCCACTGCTACACCGCTGCTACACTCCTCATCGTACCAGCTGTTTTTGCGAACAGTTCACTTATACCGAGTTGCTGATGAGTGCTCTCAGAAAGCAGTAGTGCAAGTCGTGTAGAGAATCATTCTATCGTCTGTTGTAATTGCAGCTTTTCGACATGGCATCTTCCTTGTGTTTGTTGACGGACGTTCTTTCCTACACAAAAGCGGATGGGTTGGATCCTCGGAGTGTAGGGAGGTCAAGAACACTGCAGTTTTCTTTTAGAGCTCTAACATTTATAAAGAAGAATAATATAAAAGCAAATCGTTTGTATAACTTAAAGCATAAACTCCACTGCAGTAACTAAATAAGCCATAACTTTTTCACATTTGCGTACCATTTTTAGAAAAATAAAATAATTAAAATATGAAAATATTAAACGAAATTTATACAAAACATCGTAGCTTTATTCTCGCACACTACTTATCAAGCATCATAGTTCCTTTTTGCTCTCTGCATTTTAAATAAATATATACTACCGATATCGATTGCCTATATAAATACATACATACACGCATACAGTACGAAGAGAAAACCATACGAAGCCATCGTAGCCAAAACAATAGAAATATATGTATATTACTTATTTAGAATATCTCAATTCGCAGAGACTAAAACTTCGTGCAGCGATTTTTCAAATAATGTATATTATATTTAAGTACATACATACATTCAAATACATATATATATATATATATATATATATATATATATATTAATAATATATATATATGCTTTATTAATTTGCATGTCAATGGAGTGAAGTTAAATCGGAGCTTATTCATATACTTACCAAAAATATGCATATTTAGTATATATATATATTTATTATATTAAAAAAAATTTTTATTTTATTTACTAAAGCTTACATAACAAAACTTATGTTTTTTTTGCCGAAATGTTCTATTCATAGCATGAACTTGCATAGATAAGCACAAGTATATACCATACAATGCAAATATGGAGCTATACATACATACGTACATACGAGTACATATATAAATTAAGAGTTTGATAAATCAAATGACTAAGCGATCTTCCATTAATTTTACTTGCACATTAAATAATTAAATAAAATGGCTGAAGAAAAGCCTTTAGGGTGAAATATATTTAAGCAAACACATACAAGTACATACAAGCAAGGATTCAAGAAAAAAAGTGCATACTCCTACTTACATACGTATAAAAAAAGATACAAATTCATCTAGAGACTGTAGACAAAGTATACTTAAAAATTATTAAAAAAGAAAAAAAAAATTTCTATAAAAGCTCAACTCTTTTTCACACCACTCTGGCATTTATTTTTACCAAAAAAAAAAAACAATGTAAAGTACAACACAAAATTTCCATTGAAATTTACCATAATTTGTACACTGGTTTTTAACTAATACCGTATTAGACAGGGTTTTCCAAAAAGAGGAGTTATTTTGATATACAAAAGAAAATGGTATTTTTTGAGATGCCTAATCGGACGATTATTTCAAAGTAAAGAGGAAGATATGCCATAAATAAATGGAAAAAAATCAACAGCCAAATGACCGCCATGGCTGCGCTTACAGGATCGTATCTCTTCACGAAATTTTCCACCACCAAATCGCAAAGTGGTTGCTGCGTGCCCTCAATAGCTTCACGAACTCCATCTTAGAGGTCTTGAATTGACATTGGCCTGCTGGCGTAGAACTTATCTTT